TGTACAGATGTGTTGTGACGTATGTACAGATGTGTTGTGACGTATGTACAGATGTGTTGTGACGTATGTACAGATGTGTTGTGACGTATGTACAGATGTGTTGTAACGTATGTACAGATGTGTTGTAACGTATGTACAGATGTGTTTTAACTAATTTACAGATGTGTTATAACGTATTTACAGATGTGTTTTAACTTATTTACAGATGTGTTATAACGTATGTACAGATGTGTTTTAACGTATTTACAGATGTGTTGTAACGTATGTACAGATGTGTTGTAACGTATTTACAGATGTGTTATAACATATTTACAGATGTGTTATAACGTATTTACAGATGTGTTACAACGTGTTTACAGATGTGTTGTTATAACGTGTTTACAGATGTGTTAAACTTATGTACAGATGTGTTAAATAATGTACAGATGTGTTAAACGTATGTACAGATGTGTTAAACGTATGTACAGATGTGTTGTAACGTATGTACAGATGTGTTGTAACGTATGTACAGATGTGTTGTAACGTATGTACAGATGTGTTGTAACGTATGTACAGATGTGTTGTAACGCATTTACAGATGTGTTGTAACGTATTTACAGATGTGTTATAACGTATTTACAGTATTTATTGATGTGTTGTAATATATTTACAGATGTGTTATAAAGTATTTACAGATGTGTTATAATGTATTTATAACGTATTTACAGATGTGTTATAACGTATTTACAGATGTGTTATAACGTATTTACAGATGTGTTATAACNAGGGACGTCTGAAGACCTGTAAAGACCCAGCTGAGGACAGGTGTCTCATGATCAGAGGGACGTCTGAAGACCTGTAAAGACCCAGCTGAGGACAGGTGTCTCATGATCAGAGGGACGTCTGAAGACCTGTAAAGACCCAGCTGAGGACAGGTGTTAAAGCATCATTAGTTTTAGGTGACTGGTTAAAACTCAGGGTTTTTTTTTTTTTTTGGTAAATTAGAAAAATGACATTTTCTGTGACAAAATGTGAAAGATGAAGTGATGAAAGCAGCTGAAACCTGCAGAGGCTGAAACAGAAATGTCTCCTAATCCTAATAAACCTAAAAACCTGTTGGACTGACCCAGGTTCTGACCTAGGTTCTGACCCGGGTTGTGGCTGTGACCCAGAGGGACCATGTAGAACAATCTAATGGCTGGATGTTAATCAGAGTCTGGAAGGACACAAACAGATGGTTTTTTTATAAAAACAACTTTATTTACAGGAGCAGACCACCGGGCCGGCCCACAAACCCAGACTCCAGTGCTCCCAGTGGAATGCTGTCTGTGGCTGAGGTTGGGAACTTTCTGAATTCTTCCAGCTGTTTGTTTAGTCTGAGTGTGCAGCTGTTTAATGACAGGCTGCTGTGAGCTCACACAGGTGGAGGTGACCTGACAGTCCAATTAATACCAAATAATCACAACAAACAGTCTAATTAACATGAAACAACCTGCTGCTCCATCAACTCCACTTCCTGTCACACCACACCTGAACCAGAGTCCAGGTGAGCAGAACCGGGACGCTCAGAGACAAACAGGAGCTGGTGGTGCGTTCAGGGAGCGTGGGAGTTCTGGTCACAGCTGGAGCTGCTGACTAACGAGACCAGGACAGAAAACCTGACAGGTCAGGTGTGTGAGACCCTGAAGAGGACAGTTCTGCTCAGGACTAGAAAGCGTAGCGGGTCCGGATGTCCTCCAGCTTCTTGGAGACCTCAGGTGGGGTCCGGTCCAGTTCCTCGGCCACGCTCTTCTGTTTGTGTGGATCCATACTGTTGAACTGCTCACACAGGTCTCCATCAATCACGTTCTGAGGAAACAAACACAAACTCAGCTTAGCTGCCCTCATCCACAACTTCTGACCCACTAGTCCCCCCTACCCCCAAAGATCCAGACTCTCCTGGAACCCTGAAGTGGTTCTGGATCAACGGTTCTCCAGACTCTGATCAAACTAGACAATACAAGAAGTTTAACCTCTTCAGCCCCAACGGGTTTTCTTGATGTTTTTTTTCTCTAATATTAATTAAATTTTTTTATTTTTTTTCTCCCACCTGAATAATTTTCACATTAGACAGTATATAACCATTTAAAACCATAATGAAT